CGCCCTCGCGGGCGCCCGGGCCCCGTCACGGTCCGGGGCTGACGGAGGGCTTCCTGGAGGAGGGGCGGAGTCGGCGAAGTCACCTGTTTGGTTTCCGGAAGGTAAAGACGAAAGGAGAAGAAAGAAGTTCTCCGACAAGGGGGTTCGGTTCACTCGGGGCGGAGTCGCTGTGGTTGCCCTTGGGAAGCCCCTGGCCACACGGGGGCGGGGGCGTAAGACGGTCGTTCTAAGTTGCTAGACGGACAGCATTCTCCAAGTCAGGACGGAGGGCAGAGAGGAAAGAATGTCCGGACCCACGGGAAAGGCAATCGGGGAAGACTGCCTGGAGGAGGAGTGAGTAGGGCAAGCCCGGGAAGGAGGCTCGGGACAAGAGGAAGGCTATTTATTTCATTCATATAATGGCACTGTGCTGGAAGGGGCAATGACCAAGACAGCCCTGGCTCTGCTCTACTGGGGCTCGCAATAAACAAGTAAATCAAAATAAATATAGCCTTTGGAATTGCTACACGTCAAGGGGAAATACCTACAGCCGGGGATGGAGAGTGACTTGGAGTCTGGTTCAAATAAGAGGGAAGGCCCAGGCAGTGCCTCACACCTGTAATCCCAGCGCTTTGGGAGACTGAGACGGGAGGATTGCTTGAGCCCAGGAGTTCGAGATCAGCCTGGGTAACATAGTGAGACCTCGTCTCTACAAAAAAAAAAAATTTTTTTAAATGAGCCAGACATGGTGGCACCTGCCTGTAGTCCCAGCTACTCAGGAGGCTGAGGCAGGAGAATCACCTGATCCTAGATCAAGGCTGCGGTAAGCTGTGATGGTGCCACTGAACTCCAGTCTGGGTGACAGACTGAGACCCTGACTCAAAATAAACAAACAAATAAATAAGGGAGAGGAGAGGAGAGCTCACCGAGGTGGTTTTTCAGACCTGAAGGAGGGGAGGCGGTCATGGGAAAAACATCTTAGGCAGAAGGAACATGGGAAAAACATCTTAGGCAGAAGGAACGGCAGGTGCAAAGGCCCTGGGGTAAGAGAGCATGCGCATTTGGAATGATAGTAGGTACAGCAGTGTGGCTGCCACAGAGGTGGGAAGGATAGGAGTAGAGACTGGAGAGGAGATAGAGCTAGAGAAATCCTGGTAAGGACTTTGCCTTTTTGACTCCGAGATAAATGGGAGTTACCAGGGGTTCGTAGTGTGAGTTGGATGTCATTTGGCTGAAATATTTACAGGATCCCGCGGGCTGCTGAGTGGAGAACAGGATATCGGAGATACAGGCAGAAGCCAGGAGCGCAGGCAGGAGGGGACCACAGTAGCCCAGGCAGAAGCTGTCAGCGGCTGGACCAGGTGGGAGGGTGGTGGTGGTGAATTTACTTTTTTTTTTGAGTCGGGGTCTCACTCTGTTGCCCAGGCTGGAGTGCAGTGGCGTTATCACAGCTCACCGCAGCCTCAACCTCCTGGGCTCAGGCGATCCTTCTGCCTCAGCCTCCCAAGTAGCTGGGACTACAGGCACATGCCATCATGCCTGGCTAATTAAAAAAATTTTTTTGAAGAGGCGAGGTCTCGCTACAAGATTTACTTTGAAGGAATCTGATGGGAGAAGCCTAGGGGCCTGCGAGATGATGAAACATGAGCCCCCTGCCCATTCCAGGAAAAGGGTGACCAGGGGCCCTGAGTGGAAAAGGCCTCTGGTAAGGATCCCAGGCCCCAGTCCAAGGCGGTCACCAGAGAGACCAAGCAACTAACCCAAGGTCGCCTGGTCAGTGAGTCAGCGCTGGGGCCAACCAGGGCTCCTTGCCGCCTCAGCCCCGGCTTTGCCTCTGTTCCCACGCCCCAGGGTGGCCAAGGCCGCCTGCCCTGGCTGATGCTGTCCCCTTCCCTCCCCTGGCCTCAGGGATCATGAGGAGTGGCCACCTGCCTGGGGCCTGGGGAGCGGGAGGAAGCACCCAGATCTGGACAGCCTCACCCCTCCTGGAGGGTCTCCCTTCCCCCTTCTCCTCCCCTCGGTGTGTAAACAGGCTCCTGGGATGTGAAAAATCTCACACACACACACACACACACACACAGTTCCCAGAAGAGGTTCCTGGAAATGCTTGCCAGAGAAACAAAGGAAGAGGAGGGAGGCTGGGAATGAGAAGAAAATGCACTTAATAAGGAAAATGACCTTTCTTTTTCTTTTGAGGCACGGTCTTACTCTGTCACCCAGGCTGGAGTGCAGTGGCACGATCATGGCTTATCCCACCCTCGACCTGTTGGGTTCAGGCGATCTTTCCATCTCAGCCTCCTGAGTTGCTGGGTCTACCGGCATGCACCACCACGCCCAGCTAATTATTTGATTTTTTTTTTGAGTTGGAGATCCTTTCAACGCATTTGCCCATTTCATGACGGGTGATTCACGAGAGCGCTTGTCCACACTGTGATGTATTCAGTTTTTCTTTTCATTGTAGAGACGAGGTCTCGCCATGTTGCCCAGGTTGGTCTCAAACCCCTGGGCTCAGGCAATCCTTCTTGCCTCAGCCTCCCAAAGTGCTGGGATTACAGGAGTGAGCCACTGCACCCAGCCTCAATAAATACTTATTGAAGGGATGGAAATGAACATTTGGTGGAGGAAGGTAGTATCTCGGCTTTCATCTGAGTCTCCAAGGGGACCACGTTCAAAGTCTCTGGTCCCTATATCTCTGTCCCAGTAGTTTTGGGGCAGTGAGACAGGGTGGTAAGACGACTAGGCCAACTGGATCCCAGACTTCCCTCTCTTCTCCAGCCCTCCAACACCAAAGTCCCAACATCCTACAACTGTGGTCCCCCCACCCTTCCCCCCCTCCCCCTGAAAATCATTTTCTGGCTGGGTGTGGTGGCTCACGCCTGTAATCCCAGCATTTTGGGAGGTCAAGGCGAGAGGATTGCCTGAGCTCAGGAGTTTGAGACCAGCCTGGGCAAAATATCGAGACCGCATCTCTATAAAAAAAAAAAAAAAAATCAAAGAATTAGCCGGGTGAGGTGGCTCAGCCTGTAATTCCAACACTTTGTGAGGCCGAGGTAGAGGATTGTCGGAGCCCAAGGGTTTGAGAACAGCCTGGGTAACTTGGTGAGACCTCGTCTCTACAATAAATAAAAAAAATTAGCTGGACATGGTGGCAGGTGCCTGTGGTTCCAGCTATCCCGAAGGCTGAGAAGGAAGGATCAGCTGAACCCAGCAGGTCGCGTGCCACCGCACTCCAGTCTGGGTGACAGAGACTCCAACTCAAAAAAAAAAAAAATTCACTGAATCCAAATTAGCCTCCCACAACAACGTGAGCTGATCCACTGATGTGGATGGGTTCCTAGGATGCTTACTTAGCAGAGAAAGCCTGCCCAAGTGCCCAAAGAGGGCCCGCCCTCCCTAAGATAACTCTTTGGGTCCCCGTCGTATGTTCCCTTCTACACACCACTCCTCTACTCTTTTTTTTTTTCTTTGAGTTGGAGTCTCTGTTGCCCAGACTGGAGTGCAGTGGCATGCTCATGGCCACCCCAGCCTCGACCTGCTGGACTCCAGCAATCCTTCTGCCTCAGCCTTCCAAGAGCTGGAACCACAGGTGTGCGCTACCACGCCCAGCTAATTTTTGATTTATTGTAGAGACGAGGTCTCGCCAAGTTGACTGGGTGGGTCTTGAACCCGCGGGCTCGGGCAATCCACTCACCTCGGCTTCCCAAAGTGCTGGGATGACAAGCTGAGCCACTGAGCCCGGCCTCCTCTACTCTTCTGTCCTCTCCCATTCCTCTGCCTCTCCTAGAATCTCCCAATTACCCACCAGCGCTGCATCACCCAAGAGTCTCTCTCAATCCCTTCCTGACATTGTTTGTATAATGTTGCTCCCTGCTGGGTAAGGGAGCTCAGACTGGGACATGTCCTTAAACTCCTTCCTGAGCCAGCTCCCCGGGGACTGGAACCCCTAAGGAAGGAAGTGGGGATGATTAAGAATGGGGACACTTCCTTAGCCAAGATGCTGGGCTATCAAGTTCTGCAGGCCAAGCGACCTCCTGCCAGCTTCTGCCCCACCCCTCTCTGGGCCTGTCTCCTTGTCGTTACCGGAAAAGGGCTGGAGTTAGCAACGGTGATGCGATGTCTCACACAGCAATAAAGGTCGTTCACTGAGTAATGACATGACCGGCCCCATTCCAAGCACTCACCATGGTTCGCTATGCCTTACACTCAGGATTCGCATACAAGCCGGGCATGGTGGCTCACACCTGTCTTCCCAGCACTTTGGGAGGCAGAGGCGGAAGGATCACTAGAGTCCAGCCTGGGCAGCTTGGTGAGACCTCGTCTCTACAATAAATCAAAAATTAGCCGGGCATGGTAGTGCATGCCTGTAGTTCCCGCTACTGGGAAGGCTGAGGCGGAAGGATCGCTGGAGCCCAGCAGGTCCAGGCTGCGGGGGCCGGGAATCGCCACCGCACTCCAGTCTGGGTGACAGAGTGAGACTCCAACTCAAAAAAAAAAAAAAAAA